GAAGGACTATGCTACATAGGCTTAAAGTCCCCTAGCACGGAAGGACTTGTGCCACAAATGCTTAAAGTCCCCTGGCACGTACGGACTATGTTACCTGGGCTTAACGTCCCCTAACACGAAAGGACGGTGTAACTTAGGCTTAACGTCCCCTAACACGAAAGGACGGTGTTACTTAGGCTTAACGTCCCCTAACACGAAAGGCCGGTCTATGGAATCTGTGAAGTAATGTGGATTAAAAGAATTCTTGAAGAATTAAAGCTTTCTCACCCGACATCTATGAAGGTCTATTGTGACAACAAAGCAGCTATATCTATAGCTCATAATCCAGTTCTACATGATCGCACAAAACATATAGAAGTGGATAAACATTTCATCAAGGAGAAAATCAATGTTGGCATAATCTGTATGACCTACCTTCCAACAGGTGAACAATTAGCTGATGTGCTAACGAAGGGACTACACAAGAAGCAATTTGATAAGCTGACTAGCAAGCTGGCTATGGAAGATATCTTCAAACCGGCTTGAGGGGGAGTGCTGGAAATTTGTGTTAATGCATATAATAAGATAGTGGCATATGATAGTGGTGTTGGTGGTAGATCGTGGCATGTATAGAATATGATAGTTGTGTTGGTGGTAGATAGTGGCATGTATATAATATGATAGTGGTAGATAGTGGTAATATATAATATGTAAGTGGCATATAATGGGTTATAATGTTGTTTGTAATATCTCCTATATAAGGAGGGTCATTTGGTCTTGTAAAATAAGAAGTTTTGAATATAAGAGAAATATATTCCTTCTTCCTCATATTTTCGGAGTTCTTCTTCCTCATATTTTCTAAGTGTTATGTTTTGAGGTTAGATGTGTACTGGAAAATTGTATTATATATGCTCTTTTAAGTTTATTAATGTGTTGTATCTCAGCTTCCTGAACTTCATCAATTAATGGTTGAGGCTGCGGATATTCTGAACATTGAGGCTCCTGACCTTTATGTGCGTCAAAGTGCTGTACCCAACGCATACACCCTAGCTGTCAGTGGTAAAAAGCCATTTGTTGTTGTTCATACAAGTCTTGTGGAGCTTTTGACACGAAAGGAATTGCAGGTCTTCACTCTTTCTTTCTTTCTCAGGAATGTTTTAATGCTACCTTCTTTGGTAATAAATTATATTAGATCTCAAATGTTTTTGTCAGGCAGAATTTCCATACATTATGTTTTCTCAACCATGAGCTGTACTTCTTTTGTCGTTTTTCATTTTGCATATGCTTTTTTCATGTAATTTTTTTTAAAGTTTCTAATATGTTTGGTATGATACACTGCTATTAAGATTTGTTGTTTAATATTTATAATAGGCTGTTCTGGCGCATGAGTTGGGTCACTTGAAATGTGACCATGGTGTATGGCTGACAGTTGCAAATATTCTTACTCTTGGGGCATATACTTTACCTGGTAGGTGTTTTGGTCTCTCTCTCTCTCTCTCTCTCTCACACACACACACACACACACACACACACACATGCACGCAGAGGTTTTTTTCTCAAGGCTTTGTGAGAATGTGTGTGAGCAAATTGAGGTGTTTTTTTTCCAATCTCATAGCTAAGATTGATAATGCCTGCCCTCTGGAGTGGTGTATGATTGTCAGACAGTAGTTCTGTTCTGTTAGTTTGCATTAAATGCATAGTGAATACTTTCTTTATCTCTTCAATAAAAAAATGCATATCCTGCAACTGGCAGTATGTCTAAGACTCCATGCAATGGACTGTGACCCACATTACCTGCCACGTGGCCTGCATCATTCACCTGGAGGGCGCTGGCTCCACATCACGAGGCATGGACCTTCTCGGTGCCTTGCTTCAGCTAGGGCCCTTGCCTTGCCTCACCATGACTTGGCTCATGAATAGCACTCTAAGCAGCATAGCCTCCCTAGGTCTTGTATGGTGCCTTGGTCATGCGGCGCCCAAGCAACTCATCACTCCTGCATGGGATTACATGTGTAAAATAAGTTGAGAGAGGGTTGAGAGAGTGATATTGAAAGAGAACTCTGTTATTGAAACTATATTCAGAAACCAAATAGAGGCTCCATAATATAGGAGTTGGATACAAAACATCATTATGATATAATTCAATATAATAAGGAAAAGGAGGCCGAAAGAAGGCGGGCGACTGAAAGCAGGGACAAAGAATGACAAAGAATCCTATCTAGCTAGATGTATGACCATTATATACATACTATAATATATTAACATATTATATTAACAATTATATTAATATGTTAACAGCCCCCCTCAAACTCAAGGAGGACAAACATCAACCAACTGGAGTTTGGAGACAAGTTCAACGAAGCGGCCAGGAGAATGAGCTTTGGTGAAGATATCAGCAGGTTGATCAGCAGAGGAGATTGGATGGAGATGGACAGTACCACGAGTGACGTGTTGACGAATAAAATGACAGTTAATCTCAATGTGCTTGGTGCGATCATGAAAAACATCATTGTGAGCAATTTGAAGAGTACTTTGATTGTCACAAAAGAGGGCAGTAGCGCCAGAGGGGGAAACATCCATGTCAGCAAGAAGCCAACGAAGCCAGAGAAGCTCCTGAGTAGTCTCAGCAAGAGCACGATATTCGGCCTCGGTATTGGAGCGAGCAGTAAGAGATTGTTTCTTGCTGCGCCAAGAAATAAGAGAATCACCCAAGAAAAAGCAAAACTCGGTAGTAGAGCGGCGGTCAGTAGGATCCCAACCCAATTAGCATCGGAAAAAGCACGAAGCTGGAGAGAGGAGCGGGCGGAATAATGAAGTCCATGAAAACCTTTGAGATAACGAAGGATACAAACTAATGCAGCATAATGAGGGGTACGAGGAGCTGACATAAACTGGCTGACAATATGAACGGCATAGGCAATATCAGGACGAGTAACAGTGAGATAGACAAGGCTGCCAACCAGCTGACGATATAGGGTAGCATCAGAGAGAAGAGTGCCATCAAGAGGTGTAAGACGACTCTGAGGCTCCAGGGGAGTGGAGGCAGTCTTGCAAGCCATAAGACCAGCGCGGGTGAGAAGATCAGAGGTACACTTAGCCTGAGAGAGAAAAGACCCCGTGGAATCATGGAAGATTTCAAGACCCAAGAAATAGCTGAGAGGACCAAGGTCTTTCATCCTGAAATGATGGCTAAGAAACGGTTTAAGGCATAGAATACCATCAAGATCGTTACTGGTGATAATTATATCATCCACATAAAGGAGAAGCAAGGTGCTCCCTTGAGCAGTGTTCCGGATAAAAAGAGCAGTATCATAAGAATTGGAGGTGAAACCACAGTCATGAATAGTAGAGCTGAACTTGGCAAACCAAGCGCACGGAGCTTGTTTGAGACCATATAAAGCACGCTGAAGTTTGCAGACTTTATAAGGTGGATAAGTAGACCCAGTGGGAGGTTGCATGTAGACCTCCTCAAGAAGAACACCATTAAGGAAAACATTTTTCACATCCATTTGATAAAGATCCCAGTGTCGGGTGGTAGCAACCGCAATCAGGCTGCGAACAAAGGTGAGACGAGCAACAGGAGCAAAGGTCTCCTCATAGTCAATACCATATTCTTGGTTGAAGCCTTTTGCAACAAGGCGGGCTTTGTAGCGCTCAATAGATCCATCAGAACAAGTTTTGATTTTGTAGACCCATTTGTAACCAATGGCAGTCTTGCCAGGAGGAAGATCAACAATGCCCCAAGTGTGAGTTTTGTCTAAAGCCTGCAATTCATCAGTCATAGCTTGCTGCCAAAGAGGATTAGAGCGAGCCTCACGATAGGAGGTCGGTTCATAAGTAGAAAAAGCAGTAGAACCAACATAAAGTCACGAAGACGAGTAGAAGGTTGGATTACCCGGTGTGGTCGAGTAGAGGCAGGAGGAGCCAGAGGGAGAGACTCACCAGGAGGGGAGGATCCCGAGGGAGCACGAGCAGGACCATCAGAGTTAGCAGGTGCATGGGACAGACCAGTAGGCAAGGCAGTCTCGAGAGAGGCTGGCAGGGGCGGTGGAGTAAGCTCATCAGAGAACTCGAGAGAGGCTGGCAAGGGCGGTGGAGTAAGCTCATCAGAAAACAAATCCGTGGAAGGGTCAGTAAAAAACAGAGAGGGTGAGGGAACGGACAAACGGAAGAGAGAGAGAGAGAAAAACATTTTGTGTTCCCAAAAGATGACATGACGAGAGATACGGAGTCGCTGGGAGAGAGGATCCCAACAACGATACCCCTTGTGTTCAATACCATACCCTAAGAAGCAACAAAGGCGAGAACGTGGTTCAAGTTTGGTACGTTCATGAGGTTGAAGAAGAACAAAACAGGCAGATCCAAAGACCCTAAGGTTGGTGTAAGGGGGACGGGTGCCATGCAGACGTTCATAAGGAGTGTGATTATGAATGACAGGTGTAGGGATACAATTGATAGTGTAAGCAGCAGTGAGAGCTGCCTCTCCCCAAAAATGTTCCGGACAAGAGGAAGACAAAAGGAGAGCTCGAGTAGTGTCGAGAATATGTCGATGTTTCCGTTCAGCACGTCCATTTTGTTGAGATGTACCAGGACAGGAACGATGAGGTTGAGTACCATGACTCTGAAGAAAGGAAAGAAAGTCAAAATTTTTATATTCCATGGCATTGTCGGAGCGAAAAAGCTTAATAGTTTTAGAAAATTGTGTTTTAACCATTGCAGCAAAATTGTAATAAAGTTGTTTGAGCTCAGAGCGATTTTTCATAAGAAACAACCATGTAAAACGGGAAAAATCATCTATAAAAACAACAAAATAGCGTGCGCCGCCCATAGTAGGAGTAGGAAAGGGTCCCCAAATATCAGAATGAATGAGATCAAATGGTGCAAGAGAAACAGAGTCACTTTTATTAAACGACAAAGCAGGTTGTTTGGCAAGTTGACAGGACACACAATCTAAAACATCAGAACTTACATGACCTAAATGACCACTGGAAATTAAAGTGGTGGCCATGGCATCGGGGTTGTGGGGTGTAGCTCAAAGGTGTTATTATTATTATTATTTATTTTATAAGTTATAAATTTTAGGGAGATTTATTTATAAGTCATTATAAGTGAGAGGTTGAAACAGAACCAACATGACTTACAGACAGAAGAGACCCATCAGCAGTATGGATAGAAGGAACATGAGGAGTAGAAGAGAGAGGAGTAAAAATAGTAGGGTCAAAGGTCATGTGATTACAACAAGCGGAAAAGTACCAAGAAGTGTTACCTGCGGTGACAGATAAAGCAGTAGATGGAGGAGTATCGGAATTCTGCCAAAAATGTTGAAACATGGCTTCGACATCGGTTTGAGAGAAGACTGGAGTGGAAGGGTCTATAGGGACAGAGGAAGGTAAATCCTCTGAGGCAGCAGCAGCAGTGCGTTGAGCAGGTATTGGTTTAAACGGAGTCCCAGAACGGTGAGAGTGGTTGCGAGAAAAATTCCCGGTGGAAGGACCATTGCGAGAGGCACGGGCGGGATTGCGGAAGCAATCTTGCTGGAGATGACCAGGGCCAGTCTTGTTGCAAAACCGACAAAGACGAACTGGACAATTAACCAGAAGATGAGTTGACGGAAGATTGCGGTTGTGACAGTAATTGCAGGCAGTTGACCTCTGTGGTGAAGGTGGGGAAGGAGAACTTCGAATCTGGGGAGTGGCAAGAACAGAGTCCACAGGGTGCGGATGGAGAGTACCAAACCTGGTTTCCTCTAACAGGAGTTCAGAAATTGCTTGCTCAAAAGTGGGTAAAGGAGTGCGATGAAGGAGAGATGATCGTACTGGCTCAAAACGGGGAGTGAGAGCCACGAGAAACTGAACCAAGCGCTGTTGGTCACGGTAAGTAGTAAACAAGGCAGCATCCTTAGTACAATCCCATGGAGGTTCAGAAAGAGCGAGCTGATCCCAAACATAATACATTTGAGAGATGAAATCATTAATGTTCTGAGTTGTATCTTGGCGCATACGGTGAAGATGACTCAGAAGCTGATATTGGTGAGCAAGGCCAGTAGTCTGATAGCGTTCGTGTAAAAAATCCCAGATGGCTTTGGCAGGAGAGGAAGCAGAGTCAAGTTGGAACCGACCAAACTGAAGGCTGATAGATGTAATAGAAGTATTGCGAAACCAAGTGATGATCTGATAGTTTTTACTATCCCAATCTTCCAGTCGGTCAACATATTTGATGGCGGAGTCCGTGGCAGCGGAATCCGTGGTCTCTTGAACGGATTTGCGTACATCCCCAGTGATGATGCGCCAAAGTTTCTTTCCTTTGAGGAAGCCAGACATAGCTTGTGCCCATAGGACATAATTAGTCCCGTCAAGAATAATGGAAATAGGGTGGTTAGAGGAGTCCAGGCGATCCATGAGAGAAAAATAGCACAATTGAGGTAGAATCTGAAAAAACCGAGGTTACCAGTGAATTCAGATGGTCAAAATCAATCGAAAAAGGAGTGAATGGACCAAAAATATGACCAGAAAGGCAGAAAATGGATTAGTCAACGAATCTGGTCAAACAAGGATGATGCAAGGCTGATGTCACCGGCGCGACGCACGTTAGCATAGAGGTGCGCAGTGCACGTTAGTAGGGGAGAAACACGCGGCGCACGGAAGCAGCCAGGGCTGACGTCAGAAACACGCGGCTCACGTTTGCAGATGAGGCCGTGGCGCACAATAGCACCGGACAGTGTAGGAGGCGCGTAGAGCGCGTCTGAAACGAGGAAGCGCGTTGCCTAATGTTCTGGCGGCGCGTGGAGGCGCGTAAAACTTCAGATGATGATGAATTTGGTGGCGTTGGCTTCGTCGTGAAGAGACGAAGGTGCTGGTGTTGTCCAATCTGTATATTAGGTAAGGACGAGATACGCAGCAATCTGCCAAGAAAAAAAAATGTGATGCAGCGGAAGAAGAGACTTAAGAAAAACACCTGTGCTCTGATACCATGTAAAATAAGTTGAGAGAGAGTTGAGAGAGTGATATTGAAAGAGAACTCTGTTATTGAAACTATATTCAGAAACCAAATAGAGGCTCCATAATATAGGAGCTGGATACAAAACATCATTATGATATAATTCAATATAATAAGGAAAAGGAGGCTGAAAAAAGGCGGGCGACCGAAAGCAGGGACAAAGAATGACAAAGAATCCTATCTAGCTAGATGTATGACCATTATATACATACTATAATATATTAACATATTATATTAACAATTATATTAATATGACTTAGAAAATATGAGGAAGAAGAACTCCGAAAATATGAGGAAGAAGGAATATATTTCTGTTATATTCAAAACTTCTTATTTTACAAGACCAAATGACACTCCTTATATAGGAGATATTACAAACATCATTATAACCCATTATATGCCACTTACATATTATATATTACCACTATCTACCACTATCATATTATATACATGCCACTATCTACCACCAACACCACTATCATATTCTATGCATTAACACAAATTTCCAGCAATATGTTAACAACATGTGATACATCTAAGGCATATCACATCTACCTACCTCTGTCACTTCTTGGCACAACCCTTGAGGATGAGCTGACCTCCATTTCCCAACTCTTCTATAAAAGGAGGTCTCCACCTCGATAGAGAGACACCCCACCTTCAGTAGAGCTCACTCTCCCACACCTACATGTTAGAGGCTTCTTCCCCAGTGCCACTCTCTCTATTAAGGTTGTCTCAGCTCTCTCCACCTCTGGCGATCCTTCTCCATCTTTGCGCCTACCATGATTCCTAGAGGGCCCATGGTCTGCCCACATCACCAACATCCGTCAACGTATTGTAACTGAATATAGTGCTCATGATTGGTTGTGAATGTGAATCATAGTTTCTAATGATCTTGTTATTTACAGGGCTTGGTGGGTTGATAGCTCAGAGGTTGGAAGAACAACTATTTCGTTGGCTCCGAGCAGCAGAGCTTACTTGTGATCGTGCAGCCCTTCTTGTTGCTCGAGACCCAAAGGTACACAAAATTTGTAAATAAGGCGAGTAGCTTCTTTGTTGTGTACAATTTCGCTTATTAATCTTGTTTTTAATTTGATGCTCCTACAAGAGGTGGTCATGTCCGTTCTCATGAAGTTAGCTGGGGGCTGCCCATCTATGGCTGATCAACTAAATGTGGATGCATTCTTGGAGCAAGCTCGTTCTTATGACAAAGCTTCTTCAAGTCCAGTTGGGTGGTATATAAGGTAAGCACGGCCTGTGCTGAGCAGCTGAGAGTAGCTATATTAACTTCTTGGTGCAGATGCCTAACCAATTCATTATGTTCAGAAATGCTCAAACAAGGCAACTTTCACATCCACTTCCTGTTTTACGTGCTCGGGAGATTGATGAGTGGTCAAGGAGTCAAGAATATAGAACCCTTCTGTGCCGTGCAGTACAGATCAACCCCGTTCAAAAAGCTTAGCATTTTGTTGAGGACAAAGTTTGAAAACTAATGCAGCTCGAATACTTAAATGGTTAGCCTTCCAAATTACACAATTTGCCTTCTCAAATTACAGGTTACAGCTCATGATGCACAATCACTAGTGTATTTTGTTTTGGTGCTTATTCAGGTCTCCTCAACTTCAATACCTTTTGATATGTTCTCTTCTTGTTCTCTGTCTCGGACCACTACTGCAAGGCCAATGGAGTGCAGGAGATGCTGTGGATTTGATATATACTTGTACTTTCGGTGAAAATATTGAATTTCCAATGAATGTAAATGTACCATAGGGAAATAGTACTTTACTAGGTTTTGTTGGTCATTCTATACACACTTGTATACACGTTACAATACTATACAGTCGTGAAATCTGTTTATATGAATCTAGTTGTGCAAGGCCAATATATATAAGTTTATACTTTAATAGTTATCTGTTGTTTATAATGCCAAAACACTGACGATCATGTTTTAGTGAAAGTATCCAAGCTATCTGAATGCCATGCGTTGACCCAAGCATTTGAGTACTGCTAAATGAATTTTAACTTGTGGCAGACTGATTGTTGGAACTTATTCACTAACATTTGCTCAGAAAGACCTCATCAACCACAGGACTATCAGTAGAAGAAAATTACTGTATGAATTTGAATTCTGTCCATCAGAAGCCCTCAAAACCACATTATTGACCATAGAACACCCCATCTTTAGTGTGGGTTGCAGTATAACTCAGAAAACTAATCGAAGTTAGACCTCTTTATGCCTTGAATGTTACACAGATTTTTTTAATTTTCAGTTTCATTGGACAGTACCTAAATCTTCACCTCAAGTGAACCGATGGGCTTGGGGATTGAAATCAGAATATTTTGTTAGGCTTTGGAAGACAATGTCGACAGACTCTCCAACTGCCCAAGTAGTGACCATGGCTTTCCCGTGTCTGCTTCCCATATTCAACACTAACTCTGCCAAGCAAGAAGACCACCAAAAACAATACTATCACAATAGATTAACAGTGATTCAGCCCTGCAAATAACACTACAAGAACGATGAGATTAGTAATCAAAATATGTGGGATGCCTTAGTTATACAAACAGCAGGTATAGCAGTATTATTCCAAACAAGGATCTTTGGTGCCTCGAATTGAGCTGCCACGAATGGCTCGAATTTGTATTCACTGGTCGACCGGCCAGACGGCTACCTGGATGACCAGATGAAACACTTGTCTATCGCGGTTGTCACTTTGTCGATCGTGACTGTCAATTATTTTGTCGGACGACCCGCAAAATAAAATTCGAGCCATTCGAGATAAGCTCAAATTCGAGATACGTAACATTGTTTTATTCCGAAAACTCGATTATCAAAAAAAATCTACGCCTACTCCAAGCCAAGCATGAAAAAATCCACTCAACTTGCAAACTAGTAAAAGCAATTTTTGCATGTGAGAGTGGTGAGGATGATATATTTAGGCCAAGTTTGATTACTCAAAATAAGTACACACTTTTTATCTATCTTTTTTTTATCATATCACCTCTCTACTTTTTTACACATCATTTTATAAAAAGATAAAAAATACGCTTATTTAAGTCATCCAAACAACCGCTTAAAATACACATTCTTCAAACAAAGAATTATATAGCCATACATGATCGAAAGTGAGTAAAGTAAAAATTTGTCTTTACTTGTACTGTTGCCATTCCTATCAATTCGACAAAATGCTCCAAGAAGCCATTCCCATTGGATTGGAAAGAGCACCAAATAAGCTCTGTGGTATCATTGTCCACTACTAGTACAAAATAATCACAATCTTGATGATCATCGCTTCTGACAAAAAATTAAATCGGTCACAGCTAGCGAAGATGGACCCATTTCGCGACCTTTCAATCTGGTTCCTCTGCTGTGTGCCCCCGCCGATATCAACCCCAAAACAATTCTCTCTCTCTCTCTCTCTCTCTCTCTCTCTCTCTCACAGTGTCTCAGATCATCTGCAGAGAAGCATATAAAGCTCTTGAAGAAGGAAGAAAGGAAGGAGGCTGAGAAATATGCCGGGGATGACAGCGCCGTCGGATTACTCGCAAGAACCTCCTCGTCATCCTTGTCTTAAAATTAATGCCAAGGCACTGTTCTTCTTCTTCTTCTCTCTCTCTCTCTCTCTCTCTCTCTCTCTCTCTCATGTATGTATACACATGCTTTTGATTCGACATGCTTATGAAGTCTTAACCGCCCAAAATTCAAATATAGTATTGAATTTAAATTGAGGCTTGATATATTATGCTGATCATTCTCTCTAGTTGTAGATATTAGTGTTCTCGTCACTCTTTGTAGTTTTTTAGATTGAATTGATATGGCATCAATAGTTAAGCCCTTATGGTAATGGTACAGTTGTATACAATTTTGGGGAAGACCCATGGGGTTGTTCGCTATGCAGCCATCCTTTCCCCTATTCCTCTCCTACTGATTGTATAAAAGATACAATTTAGGGTTTATGTAATTTCATTTACTGGTGGCTTTGGATGGATACCTTTACATTTACTTGTTCTCTCCATAGAAATTGTAAAGAGAATTCGCAAGTGTTTCTCTCATCCCATTTTTTAAAAATCATGGATAGGCTGACATTTTAAGATGATATAGAACCATCTATAAAATTACTAATAGGTGAAACAGAGGGATTTTCCCTTTGGAACCAGCCCCTGTTGAAGGAAATGCATCAAAGGAAGTTTTTAATAAGTACTTGGATTGGATAGATGATATTGGTGCCAATGAACTTCTAATATAAAATGCACTTGTAAGGACCGATACACTGATACGTTACAACACATGCATATCCAGATGCAAATTTAAAAAAATTAGGACACGCCATGACAATAAAAAATATATCGTGTCAGGGTGTGTTGGATGACTGTCGGGTAATCCAACATGGACACAACACCTTTAAATTGTTTGTGCTTCTTTGCTTTTAGCTGTTAATTTTGAGCATGTCTGTGATCTTAGTAGTCCATCTGGATTGCTTTTGTATTTTCTTGGTATCCAACTTGAGACCCAATGAGTTTATTGGTCCCTTTTTGCTGCAGGAGCCCTTTAATGCCGAGCCACCTCGTTCAGCATTGGTTTCCTCGTACATGACTCCCGTGGATTTTTTCTACAAGAGAAATCATGGGCCAATCCCAATAGTTGATGACATAGAAAGGTATGTTCTGCCCTTGTTCATCTCTTCCTTCATATTTTTAAACTATCGTACTGTTTGGAGCCTATCAATTTTGACTGATAGACAATCCGTCTGCATGGGCAGATATTGTGTTTCTGTAACTGGTTTAATTGACAATCCCAAACAGCTGTTCATGAAAGATATATGGTGAGTGATGGATTTGGGCATTCACAGTTTATGATATCATAGTGTATCATGTGAAATTGTTTGAAGGAGGAACTTATATTGCTGTTTAAACCATAGGAACCTTCCAAAATACAATATCACTGCCACTTTACAGGTATGCTATCTCTACTTATGCTGGGGTCTATGTTTTTATGTTGTTGGACACTTTGTCCCACAAGTTTCCAACAAATGTTTGTTTTGCTAAACTTTGTAAACTCATTGATCTGGCTTTTTGTGATTTGTGCAGTGCGCTGGTAACAGGAGGACTGCTATGAGCAAAACCAGAACAGTGAAAGGTGTTGGCTGGGATGTTTCTGCTATTGGAAATGGTTAGTTTTCTATCATAGATAATTACAATTTTCGTGTGTTACCACAAATTGATTCAAGTGATGTTGGAAGTATATATTTAGGGATTGTTTGGGGTGTCCTAAATAAGTGCACTTTTTGTCTTTTTGGACTAAAAAATTGAGGAAAAAAATATGGATGTTTGGGTTAACTTTTTGACTTTTTATGGAAAAATGTGTATTAAAAAATTGTATAAATTAGTGTGTAGGGGAAAATTAGGATTGAGAGTTGTGCAGCCGTAATTTTTAACTTTTGGTGAATAGTGATAACTTTTTAACTTTTTGAGTAACTTTTTGGCTTTTTGGCAACTTGCCAAACTTGGCCTTAAGGTCTGATGTCCTAGGATGGTCTCTTAACATCTGATTGCAGAATTTGTTATCTTCCATTGGGATGATGATAACCAATTAAATTCACTGTCAGCGGTTAATGGATGCTAAGCTAATCTAATGGTTTTCAGATCCTTTATTTTGCAATTTGCCCCTTCTATTTTAATATATAGTCAATAGAGAGATCTTTACATTACAGTAAGATTTTTTTTTAAAAAAAAAGCAAAGTAAGTTTTTCTTTATTTTTGTATAAATAATAAAATTCAGTTAAATGAATTATCCCCACAAAGAATAAACAACAAAAGAACCAGAAAAAAAAAAAAATTTAATAAATAAATAAATAAATAAATAAAATGCACTATGTTTCCTTGCTTGAAAAATAAAGCTGAAGTTTTTTCTTGTTCATAAACTTTCTATCTTTTTCTCCTCTTCACTCTATTTTTGGGGTTGTCTAATGAGGATCAGAACCACATTATAACATACCAGTTAACAGTTTGCACAAAAATTCACATTGCTACCTGCAAGAGATTGAACTCACCTAAACTGACTAGTAGCCAAATGAAATGATACAACTAAAAAAGGGAAGAAAAAGAAAACATGGCTTCTAGGCTTCACTCCTTCATAGCCTATTAGCAAAGGAAGCACTGCTTTTCAGTTATAAGGGAAGGGGGGTTAAATGTTTGCTGGGATCCCCTAATCTCAGGATTAACAGCATTTAAGGCTGCAAATGAATTGAGCTGAGCAAGTATTGGCATGTTCAGATTGGCTCGCTAGGAGAATTTTAGAAAACTCAAGCTCATATCAAGCTAGAGAGCTTCTGTTCGAGCTCAGCTCTACTTGTGTGGTTTGGTGGTAGCCTTCCAGCTCAGCTCGATTAGTAAGGAAGTTTGGCGAAGTTTTGTTCATGTTCCTTCTCTTGATGTGTTTTTATTTTTACAACATTAAGTTGTCAATTCAAATGCAAAAGTCAATACAAAAAATATGCACCTCCAACATTCCCCCCCCCCCCCCCCCCCCTTTTTTGTTTACACCCACACTATCTATGTTTAACTTCTTGGCTTCCTGCAATTTTCTTGCAGCTGTCTGGGGTGGGGCAAAATTGGTAGATGTTCTTGAACTTCTTGGGATACCCAAGTTGACAAGTGCCACATCATCAGGTGGAAAGCATGTTGAATTTGTCAGCATTGATAAGTGCAAGGTAGGTAATGGAACATTTATGTCTTATTTTGGGATCTTTTTTTCTTTTTTTCTCTTTCTTTCTTTCTTTTTTCTTTTTTGTAGGAGGAGAATGGGGGTCCGTATAAGGCATCAATTCCATTATCTCAGGCCACAAACCCTGAAGCTGATGTTTTACTCGCATATGAGATGAATGGAGTGGTAAGAAAACATTTTCTATTAAAGAGTTATGCTGATTTCTTTGGAGAAGTTTATAAGTTTCGAATTCACTTTGCCTGTTATGATATAAATTGCACATTTCTAGTTTGTCTACCTTTTTCGTACATCTTTCTCTTAACCTCCAGTCCATTCATTGTTCAACAGAAAATCGACCTCCAAGAGATGAGTTTCTTGGTTTTGGTGGCAGCATGCTTTTGTTGTAGTTATTTAAATACATTTTCTTATTCTTGAAAATGCAGGGAAAACTAAGATCAAAACTGACTGTAACCTTGTGTCTCCTAAGAATAATCTGTTAACTTTGTTTTAATAGGGCTACTGACTGTGAATTTGTCACATCCTCACAACCATTATTATGCTCAGTTATGGAATAAATTATTTTTCCAACTATTTTTCATAACTATCTAGTGTTGGTTTCAGGATCACACTAAAATCCATCAAGGTTTTAGATTGTTTAATAACCAGCTCTCAACCTCACATCATTCTTCCATGGATTGATGCCAGTATCCTGTGGGCCAGTTGGTGGCAGGATAGGCATCTCACACAAAATTTTTGGGCACACCAGTCAGTAGGTAGGAAGATTTATCTATGCAGTTTTAACTCATGCAGCCATCGTATAATTGTGTAATCCGCAAAAATCCCTTCAATAATAAAAGAACAGGCCAAGATAAAAACCCTGTTGATGTGCTTTTTCTGTGTTTTTATTTAATTGTTATACTGCCCTCTGTTAAATTTGGGGAACAAATTTCATAGTTTACCATTCTAATTTTACTTCACTGGCATGCATTGCTGCTAAAGCCTTTAAACAGGGATCATGGGTATCCATTACGTGTAGTTGTCCCTGGTATTATAGGTGCCCGTTCCGTTAAGTGGCTGGATTCCATCAACATAATTGCTGAAGAGTGCCAGGTTGGAATATTGTTTATTTCTCTTTAAATTGTTTTGATAGTAGCTTCCTTTTTTCAATGTCATTTACAGTTGAGTTCATATTGGTACTTAATAGGGCTTCTTTATGCAAAAAGACTATAAAATGTTTCCACCTTCAGTTAATTGGGATAATATTGATTGGTCTACCAGAAGGCCACAAATGGATTTCCCCGTTCAGGTATTGGCTTAGTGCCTCTCTCTCTCTCTCTCTTTCACTCTGTGGATACAAACATGACTTTGATATGAATCCCTCGTATAAAACCTTACTGTAATGTTAGAAATGCAAAAGAGGGTAGAAATAAAAACATGACTTTGATATGAATCCCTCAGATAATGTAAACGACTAATTTATAATCCATTAAATAGTTGTGTATAGGCATCAAAAGGAAATGCAAATTGCTGTCAATCTTTTAAAATTACAAGTTGCTTGAAGGCCACAATTTTTCAACTAACAATTGAAGGATTTGCTTCTTGACAGTGTGTAATATGTTCCTTAGAGGACGTGAACATTGTAAAGCATGGAAAGGTCGGTGATATCTGCAATTACAAGTTCTGAATTCTGTTTTTGACACGTGTAATTTTTTTTTTTTTTACTCTGTTATTTGCTACAAATGAATGGAATACGGACACCTCATTGGAAATACTACAGCCATGCTGTCCCAATAATTTTCATATGACAACCAATACTGCCATATTCTCCAACATTCACAAAATACCCCAACCATAGCCAAATATTTGTTGATCTCATTGCATATGTTTCATATGCATATGAAGATGAAATATGATTGCTTTTCCTATGGAAACTGTCTCATCATATAATGTTTTCCAGATTTTTCTGGAATCTCTCTTTTATGTGAATTTATAAAATCGAAGTCCTGGTGGGATGTGCTGTTCCTTAGAACCCAAATAGGTAGACTTCAATGTCTCTTAAATATTTTAATTCATAAATGAACTCCTTGGTTTTCTGTGCAGATAACCGTCAAGGGATATGCAGTATCAGGAGGTGGCCGTGGAATTGAGAGAGTAGATGTATCCATTGATCGTGGCAGAACCTGGGTGGAAGCATCCAGATACCAGAAGGCGGGCATTCCATACATTGCTGATAATGCAAGTAGTGACAAATGGGCCTGGGTGTTTTTTGAGGCAAACGTTGATGTCCCTATGACTGCTGAGATAGTTGCTAAAGCGGTATGTCTTATTTGTTTCTTCTCATTACAGCATAACCTGCTTATATTTTGCATTTGGAAATTGTACTTTTTGGCACCATCCAATGAAGACTATGTGAAAGACTGTCAGGGGAAGAGAGAGAGAGATATTGTAAAAGTCACCATCAAGTGGGAACGATCAGATTGGTGACAGCCTGCTGATTTCTGTCAAGATCAACATGAACTCATCAAATTGGTTACAATATGTGAACCTGTTGTTGACCCAATAACCTTTTGGCCCTGGTATGGCCAGCACTTCGTTTGCAGGCCATGTGGTACCTATTGATTTGTCAACCTGGAAGTTAGGTTCAAGTCCCTTTGTAGGGTTTGGTTTGGTTTGGTTTGGTTTGGTTTTCAGCAGGGGGTGGGTCTGGTCTGGTTTGGTTTGGTTTCCAATGGTGTGCCATAACAGTAAACATGGCATAGACAAAAAGACAGCAAAGTAGACAGAAAGACCTAATTGTGGCTACTTAAGAGCATCTGCATCAGGCTCTCTACAATAGCTTTGAAGCTATTGTAGACCATCAGCATCAAATCCTTCCTCCATCAGTCTCAACAATTTTTTTGTAAATTAACGTTTTGTTAAATTTGCTACAGTACCTCAACAAAAATAAAGAGGCACTGTCCATTAGCTACATTATTTTTTATTATATTTTCTAGAGCAAATTTGGGCAAAAATCTTTAAACCAGTCGTCCACCCGGATATCCTACCGGGTGTTCCGTGAGTGCTTGTAGCAGAAGAAGAAAAATGTCGAAAATTAGCCTAACCGGTCGACCAGCCGGTTGACTGGTCAAAGACATTTTTTTTTTTTTTGGCATTTTTTAAGAATTGTTTTGTGACACCTCATCAATTTAATAAAAAAAAGAATAACACATACAATAAGAAATTAATATTTTTATAAGATTGAGTTAAAATAGAGAGTCTGATGCAGTGAATACGAAAAATGTGACTAAGTAAAATAGAAAAAATGAATTTTGCGTTTAATTAACCTAAAAATTTGAAGAGGCAGATGCGGATGCTCTAACAATAGTTTTTCTCACTAGCATTTGAAATTAGATTTTTATTTCGATCCATAATTGCATCACATAATATTCCAATTAGTGTATTGGTTTCAATATAAACAAAGATGGACCATCTGTATATTGTTCAATAGGAAATAACTCTGCACATGATCAACTTGAACTGATTTATATTATGAACTTGAACTGACCTGAATGTATGGATAAATGCATTCCATCTTGACAAGCTGAAGTTCATACATTTTGACTCAATAGGTTACAAGTTATTTCCTCTGTTTGAATTGCATTTTTATGTTAGTAACTTCTCAAATTGGTTCTGCCACTTGCGTTATGGTTACTTGGTCATCCCATGGATGTGCAGGTGGATACAGCTGCAAATGTCCAACCTGAAAATGTGGAAACCATTTGGAACTTGAGAGGGATACTGAACACTTCATGGCACCGTGTTCGTGTTCGAGTTGGTCACTCTAACATGTAAGTTGAAATAGAAGAGAACTAAGGCCATCTGCAGAAAGATATTTGTTTCCCACATGCTTGAAATGTACCAAAAAACCGTTACTTTCCGCTTGACAAAACACTATTTCTTGGGTCTTTGAAGGTTTCTTTACCATGCTAGTGTTTTGCATTTTTGTCTTTTGTTTTTTTGTTTTTTTGTGGTTGGTTTATGTGACCCACACCCTTGCTTGCCTAACTGGGGGCATGTCAAGTTGGGTTGAGATGGGTTTCTCATATTATGCATCACGCCAAAACGTTACTACGTGCTCTTGGAGTACACGATCACACGATTGTGACTTTGGATGTGTTGGGATAATGTTCTAGGAGCACACAATAATTTTTCCCGTCAAGGTAGATCACCACGTGCGCCACGTGCACCGCGTGCTACCTTACCACATTGTCACCTACCATTTCTGTGTTCTCATTATTGTCTCTGTGATCTCGTTAGTGGCTCTGTGTTCTTTAGTTTATTACTCAGATGCCAATACATGTGTATCGCATTACATTGCTTTCCCATTGTGAAAGCCGTATGATACACGAGTAGGGATTTAACCAGTGCGGTCGGTATTTGTAAATTTTTTTTTATCGATTTGATAATATTGATTTTATTATTTGAAGTATTGATATAGATCATTTTTCCCATCAAATCATACGGAACACACCAATTGAAACGATTTGATTTGGTGAGTTTAATCGGTTTAATATCTTTTAAATTTAAGCCATTTTTTTTAGTATAATCATTCATTTATGTTAAAAATATTAAATTAGTCATTTGTCAATCATTTTAAACATATTCTATCTATTCATTTAATAAATATTTTACAATTTTTAGATTAACAAAATACAAAAAAAAACTAATGATAAATACTAAGGTATTAAGAATAGTGAATTAGAGTTAAGACTATATATAGGGAAGATAGGGTTAGTTAGTAGAGATTAATAATTTATTATGCTTATTAATATTATTATATTATATATATATTATAAATACAATATATGTTGAAGTGATCGGTTTCGGTTTAGTTCGGTGCATAAGGTGCTTAAACCAATACCGAATTGAAAATAAATATAAAAAAAAAACAAATTTAAAAATCGCACAGAACAATTCTTGTTAAAAAACAGACCAAATATGAACGATTTAATTCGATTCAATCGATTTGGTCAATTTTTTTTGATTTATCTTACATCCCTATATACTAGTGAGCAGATTAGGGTTGTCTTGTTTTTGTTAGGCTTCTAAGAAATTGCCCTCTTTCTTAGCACTATAAACGAGTTGAGTCAAGTCGAGTTGATCTTTGCTGAGTTTGAGCTCGGCTCGTTTGCTTATTGAGCTTGTTTTTTGTGCTCGAGTTTGGTTTGATGACAAACTAGGCTCCAGCTTGACTTGTTAATATTAATGAAATTTGATTTTGATTCAGCTCGACTCAATAAGATTTTTTTAATATTATTTGTATATTATTTAATATATTAATAATGTATTTATTATATAATTTAAATAAAGATAAATGAATCAAGTTTATTCAAACTCGAATTCAATTCGTTTACTAAACGAACTTAATATTCGTGTTTAAGTTTGAGTTCGACTCATTTACTAAATAAGAAAAGCAAATGAGTAGAACCGAATTGAGTCTGTCCTCCTTTTCGTAAATAATTCAGTTCATTCGCAGGGCTATTCTTTCTCCTATGATCGAATTCAATCACGTGATATGGTTGGGTCTAATCTAATGGTTGGCAAGAAACTCGCATTGAGATAAAATATTCATTTCAAGAAAAAGTGATGCAGTTCTCACAACATTTTAAGAAAGTGTTTTAACCATTTTAGCAAAAAAAATTAAAAATTAAAAATTAAAAAAAAATAAACTGTTGAAAAATTTTGTGAAAAATTATTAGAAATACGCTGTAAAAATTACTAAGGTAAATTATAAATATATCTTTTGAGGTTTTTACTTAGACACAAATTGTCTCTTGTGCTTCTATAAATTATATCTTGCATTCTTTTAAATTTCTAATTGTATAACAAATGACTTCATTTATTAATAAATTGTTAAGTCAATTATCAAATTTTTAATAATGTCAAAAATATATTTTCATTAACAATTCTGGTAATTTTATTATTATATAAAAGAGTAGTTAAGAATTTTATTTATTTTTATTAATTTTGCTAAATAAAAAATTTTAACAAAGAGATTTGTAATTCGTAGAATTATAAATAATTTATATTTTAAATAAATTTTAAAATGTGTATTTGTAATTTATCATCATTATTATTATTTTTTTAGGTTCTCAACTATTAATTCTTTTTTTAAAAAAAAAACATAAAAGGAAAAACTAATTAATAATAGGGAGATTGACCAATAAGTATCATATTTTGCACTTGTAATCTATATAGTGTCATATTTTTTCTTGTGATCCATTTAGTCTTTTTGAATGTGTAATGTCTCATTTGCTCGCCACATTGGAATATCACATTTGAAAAAAGTACATTAAAAATTTTTTTTAGTATCACATCATACCCATCATGTTAAAGTATCACATTTGGAAAAAGTACACTAAAGAGTTTTTATTTTTATATTTTTAGAGTGTCATATTATACCCGCTACGTTGGAGTGTCACATGTCACGTTAGAGAAAAGTATATTAAGGAATTTTTAATTTTTTTTAAAGTGCCACATCATACCCGTCACGTTGTCACATCTGAAAAAAGTACATTAAGGAGTTTTTTTTAAGTGTCATATCATAACCGTCACGTTGTCACATTAAGAAAAAATACACTAAAGAGTTTTTTTTAAAGTGTCATATCATACTCGTTACGTTGTCACGTTTGAAAAAAGTACATTAAAAAGTTTTTATTTTTTTTAAAGTGTCACATCATACCCGCTACACTGTCACATTAGGAAAAAATACACCAAATAGGTTTTATTTTTTTTTTGAAGTGTCACATCATACCTGTCACATTATCACATTAGAAAAAAGTATACTAAAGAATTTTTAATTTTTTTGGAGTAAAAATTTTAAAGTGTCACATCGTACTTGTCACATTATCACATTTAGGAAAAGTACACTAAAGAATTTTTAATTTTTTTGGAGTGCTACATTAATACATGTTACATTAAAGTATTATATCATACATTTCACATTAATAAAAGGGTATAGCTGTCCACCAAAACACTACCAAAATAAAAATAAGACCACTGAAAGAAACTCTCCACTAATAGAACTTAACAGATCAATAAAATAAATTGGGACGGATTGAAATACTTATTTATGAGATGAGATTTATTAGTAAATATCCCCTATCGAGAAAAAAAAAAACAAAAGTACATTTTATGCGGGGCTGTGTTTGGGGCCCCCATTGGTTAGTCGGCCTCAGAGAAAAAAAACGAAAGGAAGATGGGTGATTTTATTTGTACCCAAATAATTTCTCTGTACTTTTATAATTTTAATTGTTATTGAGCTTAATGTAAATTCATTAATAAAGATAATATTTATTAGATCTTAAAATAAAATATTATTTTTTAATGATATATCTAAATTATTTATATGTATTTTTCATATTAATTCTCTTCATCTTCTTTCTTGAATTTCGATTTTTTTTTTTCATTTTGTTTCTCATTCCAAAATTTCAATCTATCCTACCAAAACTTATCATTATCATCAATATCAATGGATTTGGGGTGGGGGTATATAAAAAAGAAAAAGAAAAAAAAAAAGAAAAAATCAAAAAAGAAAAAATCAATGAAAACAATGTCGTTCATTCACTACAGGCCCTGATTTTACTTTTGTGTTGATTTTTTTTGGACTGTTATTGTTTATAAATATATCTATGTAGTTTATCCTTATTCAAAAAAAAAAAAAAAACTCAAAGTTTTGTTTCTCAAACTTCCAACCATGACTTCACTTTACGAGCATCAACCGATTACACGAACTATGATTTCGATCTTACAAATTAAGTTTTTGTATGAAACTAGGATTTTTAATTTGTTTTTTATTATTTGAGTGTATCTTGAAAGGTAATTTAAAATTATATATATATGTATATATAATATTGAAAATAAATTATAATTTTAAATAATAATTTAATAGAATTTATTAAAAAATCGAACGAACTTAATATTTTTTTAAGCGCTGGTACCCAAGGAAGATTCGTGTACA